TAACCGTAAACTTATCACAATTTCTGTCAATAATATTTATTTTTATTTTTATTACTTTATTTTCAACAAAATATTTGTCTGTAATAAAATTTATGAAAATTAGTGCTTTAAATTATAAGAAAAAATTAACATCTTCACCTGATCTACGACTGCCCTAGCTTTTAATTGCATTTTGCTTTGATTTTCTTCAATTGACTGCTGTTTGTGTGCACCAAAATCCAATCAAAATATGGCTTGAAGATTCCAAAGTAAAAACTATTTGAAAATAAAATTCTTAAAATTAGGATCTTTACCAAAATGAAGGGCTATAGACGATTGCTTTGTTTTTTTAAATGTTCAGCCAACTCTTCTTCATACGTTGATTTCAGTTTTATTGCAAGGGCTTAGTGTGCTTATGTTTTATTTGATTTTGATTTTGATTTTGATTTGTTTAATTTAAGTGAATAATTGAATTTAATTACATAATTTGTATTTTTAACCTATGGTGATAGCTGAACTTCCCAAAATTCACTTACAATCAGTAGGTAAAAGTATGTAATTCCATCAGTAATTGATGAAATGAAATTATTAAACTGATAAATCATATAGAAAGTTCAACTAGCAAATCTTGCATTAATGAATAGAAACTGAACCCACAGGGAATTATCATTACCTGTCATTGTGCAAGTTAATGCTAGAAGATTAAGCGACAAGAAAGATTCTTACATATTCAGCGTGTTTCTTTGTAAAGTTTTCGGAATGGATTTTTCTAGTTGCATAATCGGGGTTAATAACGTCCTCACAGAAGGGGGCTCACAATTTTTTTATTCATCATGGGCCCCCTCCCAAGTGTGTGATTGTCAGCCCCGGTGGTACATGTAGAACTTTCCTTTCGGAGTTATCCTCAGTAGAACATTCTATCTAAACGACTAAACATGTAAAATGTTCAAAAGTTAGGACGAGTTATATTTACAACGAGTCTTGAAAGGCCAGCAAAATTTGCGCACTGTACAACATATGCCGATGGAGAAACATTCCCAAAAACTGTTAACTTCCATTCATCTCCGAAATTTTCGCTGAAATCATTACACATGGAGTTGCAAAATAAAGTTTACACAATGACAAATTCACATAATCTTCAATCTAATATTGATCTACAAGTTTTGTTACCTCATCATTTCACAATACAAAAAATAAAATTGACATGCTAACTGAAAAGGTAAATATTCAACAATAGCCATATTCTACAGACTAAGACACCTTTTCAAGGCAGAAGTTCAAAATTGTATCTCGCCTGGAGATCACCATCTAAGCGAGAAGCAATTCCAGCACCACTCCTCTCAGTCTTCCGCTTCTCGTATTCTACATCATCTGTAGGCAACTCATACCTACAAACTGGGCAAGTATTCCTAATCTTGAGCCACGGCAAAATGCAGTCCCCATGATAAAGATGACAACAAGGCATTCGAGTAACCTTCTCCCCAATTGCAACCTCGTCCTTACAAACTGTGCAGACAACCGAATCATTATTTTCCCCCACTTCCTCTTTTGTCAACTCCACCAAAGGTAGATTCTCTACCACGGATTTCGCAGCAGGTGGACTACCCTTTATCGCATTCCCATTCTCCACCAATTGCCCGAAAAGGGTACCATATTCCACTGTCAATATATAATCTGAAAGGTCAAGGCGAGGAACTTCATTCCCATCATTATGTTCTTCCCGGCTCTCAAAATCAAAATGCATGTCCAAATTATTCACAGCCAAGAGTATTTCCCACTCAATATTCCTCTCTTCTCGTCCTCCCCCATCACCTAACTGTAGGTTTTCACCTTCTGAGGACGAAAAATCTGAGGAAACTGAGATTTCCTCAATTCTATCAATCACAGAATTCAAATTCTCACTTTCATCAAATTGGATTCTCTCATTTACCTCCTCCCATTCAAACTCTTCCCTTTCATTTTCATTAATGAGATAATTAACCCCAAAGCCATCAAAATTATCATCATTATTGTCAATAAACCCAGAATTCACCCCGAATTCCTCGGAATCAGACTGCGAATCCATACCTACAACCCTAAGCCCCACTGGCGAGGAAACCTCCGCTGCTGACACCAGAGCAGGTCCCAACTCGAATTCCATGCCCAGATCCTCCGAGAGACCCGAATCGAAATCCCAAATCGGGTGGTCTGGAAAATGGGCTTCACGAGACTCGAACAGATCGGTAACAAAGTTCATCTGCTCCTCATCATCCCCATCTTCCTCTCCTCCACAGAAAAAGCAATTCGGGTCCTCCAAGGAATCCGCATATCCAGAAACCCAATTTTCCGGTTCTATATTTAAATCGGAGCAGAAATTGAAGGTATTGTCGTAATCATCATGTATAAAGAAAGAGGGGTTCGCATTATTAGGAGGGGATAATGAATCCAAATCGATGACAAATGGATTGTGCTCAAAGATTTCCTCACCTTCTTCACGGACCCCAGTGGTGGGGTTGGAAATTGGGATTCTGGTTTGCTGTTGCTGCGGTGGTTGGCAGTGGTTGAAGCGGAGGAGATTTGAGACCTCCGCCATGGGAAAATTGAAGAGAAAGTGAAACTTTTTGTTTGCTACATATTGGTCTGGGCAAAAAAACCGTCAAACCACCTAAATCGTCAAATCGAACCGATTCGGTTTGGTTCGGTTCGGTTTAGAGTAGTCAAATGGTTTGGTTTGATTTTTTGTAGACAAAAACCATGTTGGTTTGGTTTGGTTCATGGTTTGAATACCAAAATCGATGGTTAACCGCTCAACCCGCTACAAATCTAAACCATTTTTTTTCTTTTTTAAAAAAGAAGAAGAAGAAGAAGGGTAACTCACAGACAGAGTATGACTGTAGGAATCAAAATAAACATGATAACCAATCCAATCCAAATCCAATAAAATTCCACATTAATTATCAATTTCAATAGTAGTAAAACTAAGGTTTTATTAGCAACTGTAGACTATATTTACGATTCAATCATTCATATCTCCAGAATCATGCAGCATGATGATTAAAAATCATGCAACAAAATGGATATAGGACTTATAATTATTTCATGGAAACTAACTCATAATCAGACTCTCAAGTAATACATTTTCTCTTGCTTTCGTTTTCCTTTTCAGGAAGAAAAGTCAAAAGATAAGGCACCGGAAGTTGATGCTTGATGACGACGAACTTTCGCTATTCTTCTACTTTCCAGAACCTCGTCACTAGCTTTTTTGAAACTTTTTGTTTCTGATTCAAAGGTTTCATCATTATCAAGATCAGGATTATCTCAAGATAGTTGCACTCCGACAGCCCTCTTTTTTGAAGGTTGAAAATTGTTTTCCTCATCCCCCATTGTAAATTAACAAAACAAACTTGAAGGAAAATTTGATTCCTCCACAAGTTGGAAGAAAGTGATCTCTTCAGTTAAAAATATATGACAAAAATCACAAACTAAAAGGACATTATAAACGGAATCAAATGTTGCTTCTTGACCAAACAAATGCTAGGAAAGATATTATAGGATATGAAGCAAATACTTTTGAAGGAGACAAACTATAACGTGAAACTACATGATCTAGATAATCAATTAGCACTCGCCCACAGACATAAACAAGTGAAACTAATCATTAAGTTTGGCAGTTGTTAATTCATTACAGAAAGTATCCAAAGATCATGCGCCAAGCAAAAGAAACACTCATATTTGTAAATCAAACTCAAAAATGGGGGAACAAGGAAAAAAAGAAAGGAAAAAGAAAGAAAAAAGGGAGGAAAAAAAAAAAGAAAAAGAAAAGAGAGAGAACAATGTGTAAGAGTAACATCAATGTTTGCTTGTTCTTTATAAGTTACAATGCAATGTTATTTAAAAGTTAAAACCGAGAAACCAAACCAAACCGAACCGAAGTGATTTGGGTTGGTTCGGTTTAAGAATTAGAGTGGGTTAGTTTTGGTTTTAATTTCACTCAAACCGACTACTTTGGTTTGGTTTTGGGTTTAGGTCAAAACCAACCCAAACCAAACCATGCCCAGGCCTAGCTACATACGCTATAGAACTAGATTGGGGAAGCGACTTTTTTCAAGTCTTTCATTTAGCCCATTGCTACATTCATTTATTTCTAAAAATAATTTTTCTCGCATAATTTTCAATAGCATATTATTCAACAAAATATTATTATATATAAATTTAATTTTTTTAATATTTTAATCACATAAATCAATTTATTATTTCAAATTACATTTTCAAAAGAACACGGAGCTAAAACAAACCCTTAATTTTTTCTTTTTTCTTTTTTCCTTTAATTTGTTTACTTTGGAAACTTAATACTAATTTAATTAGATAAAAATTTAAAAATTAAGGCATGCTAGTTGGAGAATTTTGAGAAGTAGGAATTGCCGAATTGGCTTGTTAAAATTTGGTATATAAAATTATAAGTTGAGTTTGAGTAAGTTATCGAGCTATTAAATATAAAACTTCATCCCATTCTAACTTATTAACATGTATTGATATATGTATAATTTATTTAATATTAGTTTAGAACCTCTCTCACGCTTGCTATAGATTTGTATGAATCTCGATATTAGAAATGTTAAAAATTAGTTCAAGTAAAAGTAGAGTTGTATTATTATTATTTGATAAAAAGTAAATACACGATACTATTTTGCAATTTTTTTTTTACTTAAAGAAGTAAGAAATAAGAATCTCACGTACATGTAATCAAGATGCACAATTTTTTGACAATTGTTATCAATTTTGATATATACACAACAACTGTTGTCCAGAATGTAAAATGTGAATTCACATCCAAAATTACGCCCCCTTTTGAGCGTCATTAATTTTCATTACATTACATTTTATTTTTTTTATCCTATTTTCAACCACACAATCTTCTATAAAATAATATTATACGTAAATAAAAAAAATTTCCTTCTCTTTCAATCACTCATTTTTCAAAAAAAAATACCATTTCATCTATTAATTTTTCTAGGTAATGGGGGCAAAAAAGGGGCTTCATCTCTTGCTCCTCTACAATAGGACAACCTTATAAGGTGATGCTCGAATAGTTCGCCAAGTTTTGGTTCAATAATTCTTAACCGCCAAGCATGATTTCAAAAATCGATGGCTCCTCGTTGCGTAACCCGGCCCTTTCTCGTCCTTCCCAAGCTTCCATTAAATAATTTCGCATCAGTATCCATCTATAGATTTTCCACGGTTACAAAGGCTACCCAACTGCCCTCCATTTACAGAAAGACATTTTCCCATATATTTCAAGGATGCTCCAGCCAAAGAGCACTAGACCCGGGCAAACAGGCCCATGCTCGAATTATAATATCCGGGTTCAAACCCACGATTTTTGTCACCAATTGCTTGATTCAAATGTACATCAGATGTTGCCGTTTGGATTGTGCTAATAAAGTGTTCGATCAAATGTCTCAACGTGACACAGTTTCGTGGAACGCCATGATTTTTGGATATTCGATTAGTGGGAAGATGGGTGTGGCGCAGGCTTCTTTTGATATGATGCCTGAGAAGGATGTGATTTCGTGGAATTCTCTGATATCTGGGTACTTACAGAATGGGAATTATTTAAAGGCAGTTGAGATTTTTGCAGTAATGCGGAGAGAGGATTTTTTTTACGATGAGACCACTTTTGCTGTTATTTTAAGAGCATGTTCAGGTTTAGAAGATAATGTTTTGGGGGTTCAGGTACATGGGATTGTAGTCAAGTTGGGGTTTGATTCTGATGTGGTAACAGGGAGCGCAATTTTAGATATGTATGGCAAATGCAAGAGGTTGGATGAGTCGCTGTGTTTTTTTGATCAAATGCCGGAGAGAAATTGGGTTTCTTGGAGTGCATTGATAGCAGGTTGTGTGCAGAATGACGAACCTGTGGGTGGGATAGAGCTGTTCAAAGAGATGCAAAGAGTGGGAGTTGGGGTAAGTCAATCTACATATGCAAGTGTTTTCAGGTCTACTGCAGGTTTAGCAGCTTTAAGGTTGGGTTCTCAATTGCATGGTCATTCGTTGAAGAACAATTTTGGCGTTGATGTCATTGTAGGAACTGCCACATTGGACATGTATGCAAAGTGTAACAATTTAGATGATGCGAGGAAGGTGTTCAATTTGTTGCCAAACCATAACTTGCAATCTTATAATGCGTTAATTACTGGATATGCTAGATGTGATCGTGGATTCGAAGCTTTACAATTATTTTTGCACTTGTTGAAGGCTGGTCTTGGTTTTGATGAAATAAGCCTATCAGGTGCATTTAGTGCCTGTGCAGTGATTAATGGATTTCTAGAGGGAATTCAAGTACATGGATTGGCAACAAAGACACCTTTCCAGTCTAATGTTTGTGTAGGTAATGCCATTTTGGATATGTATGGAAAATGTGGATCACTGGTTGAAGCTCGGTGTGTATTCGACAGAATGAAAACAAGGGATGCTGTCTCTTGGAATTCAATAATTGCCTCTTGCGAACAGAACAAATGTGAGGAGGAAACTCTATTGCTATTTACTTGGATGCTTCAGTCAAGGATGGAGCCGGATGAATTCACTTATGGCAGTGTTTTAAAAGCTTGTGCAGGTAGGCAAGCTCTGAATTCTGGAAGGGAGATCCATGGTAGAGTTATCAAGTCCGGAATGGGGTTGGACACATTTGTTGGGATTGTTCTAGTGGATATGTACTGCAAGTGCTCGGTGATAGAAGATGCAGAGAAACTTCATCACAGAATGGAGGAACAGACAACAGTTTCATGGAATGCAATCATGTCTGGGTTCTCATCTCATGAACAGAGTGAGGGAGCTCAGATTTGCTTTTCTAAGATGTTAGAAATGGGTGTCAAACCCGATAATTTCACATTTGCCACAATTCTCGATTCTTGTGCTAATCTAGCAACTGTAGGTCTTGGGAGGCAGATCCATGCTCAAATCATCAAGCAGGACTTGCAATCAGATGTGTACATCAACAGCACTCTAGTTGACATGTATTCAAAATGTGGAAACATGCAGGATTCTAGGTTGATGTTTGATAAATCACCTAATCGTGATTTTGTGACATGGAATGCTATGGTTTGTGCCTATGCTAACCATGGACTTGGTGAAGAAGCTTTACAAATTTTTGAGAAAATGCAGATTCAGAATGTAAGACCAAATCACGCAACTTTTGTGGCAGTTCTTCGTGCTTGTGCGCATATTTGTCTTGTTGAGAGAGGGTTGTTCTACTTCAACTCTATGCAAACTGACTACGGATTAGATCCACAGTTGGAACATTACTCGTCTATGGTGGATATACTTGGCAGATCAGGTCAAGTTACTGATGCTCTGAAGCTTATTGAAGAAATGCCGTTCGAGGCTGATGATGTAATTTGGAGAACCCTGCTTAGTATTTGCAGGATGCATGGGAATGTCGAGGTGGCAGAAAAAGCAGCAAGTTCTCTTCTGCAATTGGACCCTGAGGACTCTTCGGCCTATGTTCTTCTATCGAATATTTATGCTGATGCAGAGATGTGGACAGAGGTTTCAAATATGAGGAAAGTGATGAGGTATAGTAGGCTGAAAAAAGAACCAGGCTGCAGCTGGATTGAGGTCCTGTCGGAGGTACATATGTTTCTCGCCATGGACAAAGCTCATCCAAGATGTAGAGAGATATATGAGAACCTAGATATACTAATTAGTGAGATGAGATTGGCCGGATATGTGTCTGATAGCAAGTTTATGATATGTGATATAGGGACAGAAGATGGGCAGCAAGAACTGCATCCTGCATATGCAGTCTCTTGTTTTTGAGGCATTCTACAAATTAAAGTTTGAGAGCCTTTTCGAGTATATTAAAATCCTATTGGTTCTCCCTCCAATTAGAAGGAAGTTTGACTTGGATTATCTTGGTTCAGTTCAGATTTTTGGTCATGCTATGCGCATTTACAAGTCAATGAGCCAATGGAAGTTAATGATCCTCATGGCTATTCATGTTGCCTTCCAACTGCTAATTTTTTGGCGTTTGAAAGGAGGAGAGAAAATTGGGAACTCCAGGGTAAAAGACAGTAAATTACCACACTTAGTTCCAGTCTCTGAATTCCTCGTTACATTTTGTTTTCTTCTCTGACTGGGTGAATATTTTGCAGACTCGTACACACATCATCAACTGCAATCTGAATGGTGTCAATTGTGGATTGGACACTCCAAAATCAGGTTTTCTGATTCGTGATGTCATCCAGTGGTTTGGCGAGTGCAGCCAATCTCCCAATTGTTGATACCTAGTCTTGGGTAGGGAAGAACCCTGTATTCTCCTTGTGTTGTTATAATGGAAGATTTGCTCGGTTCATACATGGTTTTTCCCCATGTTGGGGTTACCCTGTGAATCTTGTGTGACTTTTTTATTTTCTTGCTGCTGCAATTTAATCTTTTTTGTTTGGCCTGTTTTGGTACACCAGGGAAGATTTGTTCTTGGTGAATGGATCACGAAGGTGTTGAAAAGGAAAAGAGCAACATGAAAGCAAACCTGATAGACACTCTATTACAAGGACTCAACAAAACAAAGCCAGAAAATCATATTCTCTCGCTGCCACATCTAAAACAAATATGTCCAAGTTAACCTACTTCTCAGAGGAACGCACTAAATCTTGTTCAGCCATTGTTAAAATTTCGGCTACACTTTCTACTTGACCCTTGTTTGGTGGGGATTAAAATCAGATTTTTAGTAGATTATAATAACAGTTGATAAAATGTGTAGTTGAAAAGTTGTGAAACTCATGTAATATGTGATTAAAATTAATTGTTGACTTTGATTTAAATTAAAATTTGAATTCTGTCTTTATTTCTGCAGAACTAAAATATCCATCTTTAATGGATTCATCATCCATTTCAAGTCTTTTAGTCGTCTCAAAACCTGAGAAGTGAGAATTATGGAATTCTATGCCAGCGTCTGAATTAATTTTTGTTTTTAATATTTTTGGATATTTTTATTTTTATTTTTCTGACATGAATAAGTTTACTTCCCAACTTAGCTTCTAAGTTCCAACCAAGAAGCTGACTCCGCAATCTTCTATTTTGTGCCATGCACGTGATTTTTCGTTGAACTTGTGTTAACTAGATTGGGCTTAAGTTGTGCCTCAAAGCCCAATGTCCAGTCCGATTGTCAATCCAGCTAAAAGAAATTGGAGAAATTATAATTAGTGGAAATTACAAGAATCCCGACTTTTAAAAATCTCAGTGCAAATATCAGGTAAAATGGTTTTTTATGCACATTTTAGGTACTACATAAGTTCTATTTCATCCCAATCCAATTTGAAACCCTAAAATTCAAATTCAATTCTCGATCTTCTCTCTACAACCCTTTCACTCTCCTCTTCTCTGCCTTCTCTCTTCGAAAGCCAACGACTGTTCAAACTTTGGCGACCGACGGTGAAGGAACTATGCCGACGACCCATTCTCTTCTCTCTCTTCTCCATGCTTTGTCATCGTTTCCATCTATCTATCTTCTCTCTTCGTTTAACTCGGGGTCAATTTCCTTCTTTAATAATTAGGGTTTCACTTTCTATTACTTCGTATGTATTCAATTTCAATAAGCAGGTGAAAACTATGGCAATTTTGTATCTACTTTGTTTCAGATCTTGTGGTGTCTGTGGTGGTGGTTGAAAATGGTGGTGATGCGAATGGGAGTTGATTTTTGGCCGACACGATCTGGTGGTTGATTTTTGGGATCTTTTGGTTTTTGATTCGATAGTTGTGCAATGGTAGCCAGTGGTAGGGTTTGCGGCGTGATTGTGATGTGAATTCTGTGTTTGACTGTTTGTGGAAGCTGATTGTGTTGGTGCGACATGGGTGGTGGTGTTATTATGGTTGGCGGTGTTTGTTAGTGGTGGTGCGTTGTGGATGTTGTGTGCGATAGCGATGGTGGTTGTGGTGGTGCAAGTTGGTGGTTTGGGTTGATTGTCTGTGTTTTATTTTATTTTTTCTTTTTCTTTTTTGTTGGTGATTGATTGTGACCTTAAAATTTGATGACCTGTGACTAAAAAATAATTTGTGACGTCAACGATTTGATTTGTGACCTACAAATTTTTTAATTTGTGACCTCGAAATAATTTGTAACCAATTAATTTGTGACTTATAATTATGAATATGTGATAATTAATTTTTTAACTGTGACTTTATTATATATATTCAATAAATATTTTTAATTAATTAAATACATACCTAAATTTTGAATTTTTAAACTATTTACCTGATTTTTGAAAGGGTATAAAGAATACACTTGATATTTGAATTTTTCCCTAATTATTAATTATTCTCGTGGACGCCATTCCCCGCCAATCTTGAGGTCGGCTTACAGGTTTAATAGTATAAAATTTGCAATTTGGCTTAAATTTCCTTATTTAATTTTCAAATTAATCTCCCTCACCAGTCACGTTATTGTTAATCAGGGCCCACCAATTATACTGTTCATCACAGGCCAGCGCCCGCCTTCACATTTGTCACACCAATTTATACTAAAATATTTCTATTATTATAAAACCTCATCTTCAATTTGGTTTTTATTTATAATCACACTTGTGTCGAGATCGAGATCAAGGTTGAGATTTTATGAAAGATTGTGTGGTTGAAAATAAGAAAAAATAAAATGTAATGAAATGGAAATTAATGGAGACCAAACGCAGGCTAAGTCTCATTTGAGAAAAGTGTAAAATTCAAAATAGAAAATAAATTTTAACTTTTTTTTTTTTTGGTTGAAATTAAATTGTCAATGTCACTCAATGTCTAAAATCTTGGTAGAACTATTATCGATGTTATAAGAATCGGATTGAATTAAACACCAGAAAAATTATAAATTGATTCGAAATTATTGCGGATACATGTATAAAATTGCATCCAAAACCCCTTATGGTTGTAATTTTTATTTTTATTTTTTTCAATACAAGATTCCAAACCCAATTGAGTCAATATATATTTTTAATGGCTTATTAGCACAAAGCATCCCTAAGCATTAATGTGCAATGTTCATACATTTTAAATTTTTGCATTCTCACATCTACTTCTACGTTTCATTGTGTAAAACGTCAATTTCATCCATTTTTATCAAATTTCTCTAATTAAAATTAACATACCTTCCTATTTAAATAAAAAAAAGTTGTTCAAAAAAGTACAAATAAGTCCTAAATAAAATAAATTAAAAAATCAAAAAAATAAAATAAAAAATCATTTTTTTCTTTCCCCCTCTCCTTCTCTCATTCCCACTCTTACCCCTCACCCTCGACAATTCCAAATTCTAGCAATCCCCCAAACCGCAAGTCAAATCCCAACAAATAATTCGCCAATCGATTTTTCCTCGTAAAAGCCATTGAATCTCCAAAGAGCCACTTGATGTTCACAAATTGGCTCCAGTCGATGGTGAGCAATTGGCAGTGCAAAGTGCCTCGATAAATGTGCCGAAACTTCCATGCATTGTTCAGACTGTTATTGATAGCAAGAGTTTGGGGGTACTTTTAAGTTTGACCCAGTCAAAGGGAGGAAATTCCACTTTGACTTTGAAAATCATGAATATTATCACATTGGCCTCTTGAATGTTAAAAGACAATAATGCCCTTTAATGTATTATACAATTACAAAACAATGTATTGTTGAAAAGACTTTACTACCCTTTTAGTTAATAATTGAAAACCAAACACTTCCCTACTTATAAAACTTCAAAATGAGCTTCCAAAACAAAAAAAAAACTCTCATCTTTCATTTACTTGAACCTCAACATCTCAAAAAACGTTCGAACGCTAAAGCCGAAATTTTTTTTCATATCAATTTCTTCAAATCGGTAAGTATATTTACGCATGTTTAATTTCTTTTTCAGTAAATTAGAATACGTTTGAATAGAGAAAATTTATTTCAACATAGTAATAGTTAGTAATAATTTTTTTTAGCAGATCGAACGTATGAAATTTTTTTTTGAATAGATCTATAATTTTTTTCTCCTACGTAATGCGAAAGACAGAAAAGCAGTCGGCTGTTTGGCTTGTTTAACAGCCAAACAGTCATGTGACTGTGGGCTGTTAAACAGCCAAATAGTCACGTGACTGTTGGTTGTTTAACAGCCAAGAGTAGGCTGTTAACAGTCGACTATCTGTTGACAGCCAACTGTTGGCACTGATTTTTATTGGCAATGCATTATTTTTTCTTATAATTAATAAATGAAGTCGATTAAATTCATTTACTCATGCAGATATGATAATCCCGTCTGTTATTTCGGTGATTCGAATTGAATAAAAATAATCGGTGGGAATGGAGATGGACGAGTGACATACGTGGTTGTATTGCAATTCCCATAACAGAGAGTACACCATATTTAGAAATGTACCACGATTTGTAAAATAAGCTGAATGTCGATCAATCTCAATACGATATGCAATTGAGATATCTATTCAACGGTTATGGGGATTCATCCATTCCGATGCCACCGGTATTTGTTACTAATGATGCTGAATTGAATTATCTATTAGAATTGAATAAAATGCATCGGACTCCGACTATTCTTGGTGTGACTTTAATTACGAAGGATGTTATCGAAGGTGAACGCGAAGATTCAGATAGGGCGGATAACAATAATCGAGGTTTTTGGGAGACAGTGGAGATAGTTCCTGCGAATGATGTGGTTATTCCTGAGACAGTTGCTTTTGATCGTGATATCGCTGTTACGAGCAGAATTTCGTCGACGGTTGAAGACAATGAGAATATAAACGAGTTTACAAATGAGAATTTGATTACTTTATCCTGACAGAGACATGAGCCGGGTGGGAGCTCACAGGTTGGAGCAAGTGGACCGTCCTCCAATTCTTCCCGTGTGGCTTCCAATTATGAGGACTTGTATGTTAAGCAACTGTTTGAAACCAAGAAAGATTTGCAGGAAGTTGTGCACCGGGTGGCATTAAAATATAACTTTGAGTTCAAGGTAAAGAAATCAAACAAATCATTGTTGACAGTTGCTTGCGTCAAAGGTAATTACAATTGGCGCTTGAGAGCAACTAAGATAGATACGAATGAGTGCTTCATAATTCGCAAGTATTCACGGGAATATACTTGCGAAGTGGGAATTTTTCGAAACGATTACAGGCAAGTTCGAGCATGGTTTATTGGTCGACAGATAATGCACAAGTATCAGGATCCACAGACAATCTACAGACCTTCGGACATCATTAACGACGTCCGTCAACAGTATGGAGTGGTCATGAGCTACCAAAAAGAGTGGAAGATCAAAGAATGTACGTTGGAGGATTTAATGGGATTGGCTGAGGAGAGCTATGCTAAATTGGCCAGGTATTGCCATAACATGGGAAGAACTAATCCTGGCACGACATTTTTTATTGAGACGGGGAGCAATAATTGTTTTAAGTATTTCTTCATGGCTCTCGGACAATGTATTCGGAGTTTTCAAAATACAATGCGACCCGTAATTTTAGTTGATGATACAACTCTGAAAGCTAAATATCAAGACAAATTAATTATTACTACATGTCAAGATGCCAATATCCAAATTTACCCTATTGCATTCGGCATAGTCGATAGCGAGAATGATCTGTCCATGCGTTGGTTCTTTTCGAAACTGAGGGAAGTGATTGGGGAAGTCGAAGACCTTACCTTTGTAACCGATCGGGGGACAGTCTATAATAAACGGTATCGCTAAAGATTTTTCAGAGGCACATCACGGGTATTGCATGTACCATATATAAGGTAATTTGTAAATTAGGTATCGGGGCAAAGAC